TACAAAATATGCCAATCAGTTCAGAAAACCTCACTAGATATGCATTTTCCATGCAGGTTTCACTCAGTTACTCAATAAATATTTCTTAATCAGCCAGTTAGTGCCAGACCCTGGGGAGAGTAAGNTATTTTCACTACATGGACAAATCTGAAGACCTTTGTAAGCCTTGTTGCAGCTTCCAATATGATTTTTAACAGCCACCTTACTTCCCTGTGTTTTTTTTACAAAATATGCCAATCAGTTCAGAAAACCTCACTAGATATGCATTTTCCATGCAGGTTTCACTCAGTTACTCAATAAATATTTCTTAATCAGCCAGTTAGTGCCAGACCCTGGGGAAAATAAGGGAATAGAAAGGTGAAGGAGATAAGTACAGTCCTGGTCTACAAGAAACTTGGAATCCAGCAGGAAAACAGAGAACTAAGTAAGTTCAAGGAGTAGAATAAGTTCAAAAAATGGAAAGACTTTAGCAAGCATGGTAATAAAAGGTCAGCATTTGGTTTCCAAAATACTGTATGCAAAATAAGCAACTGAGGCCCTGAGGCCCCCATTCAGAGAACAAACCTCAAGCTGCCTTCTATCTAAGGTATAAAATAGCAAATGATACTTCAGGAATATACTGGAGCAGTATGGAATCCATGCATTCCAAGGGGTGGTTACCACTCAGTTCTTGGATCATTTGACACCACAAGAAGTCTATGTGCTTAGATTATATTTGCTTCGCTTCTCATATGGGCCTTTGCCAAACAGGCTCTTTTGGCTCCTACATTTTGAAGGCACAATAAAAAGAGCCTCATAAGGTCCTTTTAGTCCTGGTTGTAAAAGCCCAATTGTTGACATAAACACAATGTGCCGCAAATAAAAGGTATTTCCAACAGAATTTAAAGAAAACTTTCTTTGCCCAGGAGAATTGGTATGGTATTTCCCCCCACCCTTTCCTATAATAAGAACTATATAATACATTGTGTTTACCCTTTTTTTTAGCCTTAATTTTCACCATTGTTTCCAGGAGTCTCAGAACTGAATTTAATTTTAAATGCAATAATCATTTTGTGCTTGAAATTTCCATAAGCTTTGACATTCTCTATCACACATACTTAATGCGCTCCCTCAAATTCTCTTGGGCTCACCTGTCTGAAGAGCTCTTGGTCACTTGCTTTATTTTCCCTGCCAGCCACTTCTGCAAGGATGCTGCTCAGCTGTCACCCCTGTTAACCAAAGTGACCCTGGCATAACCCGAAGCAGCTCCCTTGGACCAGTGCCACCCAGCTATCACCTCCCACCCTGAAGCTTCCCTGCAGCTACTGAAATGAGTCACCCACATATGTGTAACTCAGAAATGTAGAGGAGGTAAGCCCCCAGAAGTGACCATCTGACCAATAGAAGGGTAGAGAGCTGAAGGGTAAATTCTCCCTGCTTTTACCACATAGTCTGTCCTGCCCTAAAGGCCTCTCCTAAGTTCCTATGAGATCAACGGTCAGTTACACTTGATACCAAGTGGTGACCGCTTTGCGTTCCAAGCCCCTGGTTCTCCGTTCTTCCCTATCACATCCTTTCCCCCTCACTCTTGCTTCCCTGAGACTCTACTCCCAATTCTTTGAAATTTTGTAGACTCTAGATAAACTTGTAAAGCTCACAGTGAGCTCATTGTCTATTAATTTTACAGAACTTGGGAATCTGGCCAAATTGAAGAGAATATTTTTATGTACTTTAATTCCTCAAGTAAAAGTGCAAAATTCAAAGCACAGTCTAATGTGTTTTCAAAAAAGGGATAGCCTCCATTTTCTCAAAATGATGTTAGATGGCTGCTATTCTTTTTAAATCTCTATGCCTGCCTCCTTAACAGATAGAATTTGTGTCACTAAATTTTAAGAAATTTAACACTTAATCTCAGTTTTTCTATCGTTAGTTTAGGGATTTTACTGAGATCACAGCTAACAAGCATTTTCTTTCTATGCAGTTGAAGTCAGTTTTGTTAAGAGGAGTATTTGAAACTTTACTAAAAAATCCGTTTCCATTAATTTTTCTTTTTTGCTACCTATATCTTTCTGTATTTTTTTCCACTCTTAACATGGGCACTTGGGACCAATAATTTAAAGACTATGTTCCTTTGTGCTTGTTTCTCTGAGAATACCTTATTTCCTGTTTTCGAAAGCCCTCGCTGAATGTTACCAAGCTCCCTCTTTCTCCACCACTGCTCTGTAATGCCAACTGCTGAACTGGAGAAATGAGGCTGTGAAAATACAATGGCTCCATGATGTGGCATTTCCTGATGGCAGGTGGGGGAAGTTTTGATTAATTAAGAGGGTGATGGTGAGTCATGGTTTTTGGGCAGGTGTCCCCCACAATCTTTGGGATCATGTTCTTTGGAAAGACTCTTACAGCAGTAGAGGGACAGGATGGCTTGGGACATGAAAAAATCTAAAGGAAGAGAGATCGGTATATCAGACACATCAGGTAAGAAGAAACTGGGCAATGATGTCACAAAAGGAATGGAAAGGCAGGAGCAGAATCAAAAGATATTCGGAAAAAAATAATATGCAAGATCAGGCCCCAGATTGGAGTGGTTGGCCGTTAGAGTCGGATTCAGAGTGGACTCTGGGTGACAGAGCACTGGGGTCTCAATGAACAGAAATAATGACGACAGGAAGGTGAGCAGCTCCAAGTGAAGATCACTGATTTTGAGGCACCAGGAGGATGTCCAGGTGAAGTATTCTGGGCACCAGGAAATACAATACTGCAATTTAGAAAGTAGACCAAGGCCAGAAATTTAAGGTTGGGAGCCATCTGGTAGAAGTGGGAAATGACGTGTATGAGGGGATAGGATAGCCCAGAAAATGGGGAATAAGTGCAAGAGGAAAAAGCCCTAGGGGTATGCTTACCCCTGGCTGGGTGAGGGAGGGAATGAAATCTAGGAGGTAGAAAGAGACAAAATTCAGAAAATTCACCTCTCAAATGGGAAGAGAGGATAAGCAGAGTAACAGAGAATCTGAGGAAAGGAGGGCTGAGATAGGGCTGGCGGGCTGCCGACAGGCGAGGAGGCCCGGGCGCTGAGGCGGACTGCCCGCGGATACAGAGGGGAGCTGCGCAGGGCGGCATGAGGAATCCGAACCTTCCACATCATTTCCGGTGCTGGAACCGGGGAACTGAGAGCAGGGCTCCTGGTGGTGCTGCCACCTGGTTTCAATGAGCTCAGTCTGTACCCTTCCGTGTCTTCTCAGTGGTCATATAACCTTCACTGAAACACCAGGGCAAGAACTATGCATGCAAACAGCATTTGGAACCCTGAAGTCTGGAACCCGATTTATGAATACTTCCTGCCTGGGAGCACCAAGTCCCACATTTCCTGAGACGAAATAGTCAAAGCAAAAATGCCTATTTTGCACAGCGGTATGTCTGCCAGGGTTGTGTGTGGCAATTAACTAGCTATCACCACACTATTAACGGAGCAAACTTTTTTGTCACTAGTTTGAAATGCCACTTTTATCATAAACTATACCCCCTATGAATTTGTGTCTATATTTGGACTCTACTCCATTCCATTTAGTACCCAACCTGCTGGTATTTAATTGGGATTGCTTTGAATTTGTGAATTAATTTGAAAAGAAATGACATTTTTTACATTATTCAGCTTACTAAAAAGAAGAATACTTATGCCTTTTTTTATGTCCCTCAATGGAAGATATTTACCGTTTTATATAGGTCCTAAGCTTCTCTTTTTCAGTTTATAGCTATATATTTCCTTCGGGGTTGCTATTATCAATGTTGTTATTTCTTGTATCATAACTGTGTGTGTGCGAGTATGTGTTTATATGTGTAAATAAGAAAGATTAGGTGTTTTCTCAGATAAGGAACAAAATGTGAAAGAAATAACCTAGAGCAAATTTAAGTTTTTAATAGCATGTGACCTTCACTGAACTGATACCCATGTAAAAAAATAATTTTGGATAACATTATCATGTAAAACAGGAAAAAACATAAACGTGGTTTATTTTGCCTTTTTATCATTAATGTTTCCTTCCATAAAACAAGCTGTGACTTTGTACTTGGAGATAAAATGTGGTGTCTATTCTGTTCTGGTACCACCAGAGAGAGCTTCATTTTCCTCCTCCTATAAGACAAAGCTCTAGGTAGACTCTGACTCTTTGAAAGAAAAGCAGCCCTGTTCAGCCCTGCTGCTTGAATTCATGATCCTGACCATCAGCTCTTCAATGTCTCCTCTCAAGGTGCTGGCAGAACAGGCTGAAGGAAGCTGCAGCCACAGCTGTCAGTTCCCGGCTGCACATCACACTCATTGCCCCAGAGGTGTGTTCACATGGCTAGACACAGCCACGAGTTAGAAAATGTTTGGGTTTTACCTTTTCCTTCATCCCAGTCCTTTGAAACTTTTTAATTTGAAGAAAAACTGAATGCTATTTAACAAATATAGATAAGGGTCTGCAGACTTTTACTACAAATGGCCAGATAAGAAAATGTTTTAGGTTTTGGTGGGCTAAATGGTCTCTATAGCAACTACTTGCCTCTGCTGTCGTATTGTACAAGAAGTCATAGACACTAAGTAAATGGGACTGGCTGTGTTCTAATATATTCACAAAACTATTCACAAAACACAAGTTTTGGCTCATAAGCCAAATTTGGCCTATAGTTCACAGTGTCCATATTTCTATTTTAGACCAGTAAACTTCCATACCATTAATTATTTCTATATATATTTTTAAGTGAAAAGTAATACACTAGTTTCCACAGAACTAAGCATGACAGGATGCAAAGCACTGAATGCAAAGCAAAAAACAGAATTTAGAAAAATCGCCAAAATTATTTCTTACAATGATTCTGAGTTTAGCTAGCACTTGTTTGCTTCAAAAAGCACAAGTGGGAATCATAGTACATAATAAACACACATATCACAAATGTAGTGCGGTCATTGCTTCGAGCAGGGAGAGAGAGCTGAATGAAAAAAACATTATTATTTAGTAATGGAAATATTTGCTCTTACTTACCAATCCTGTACTGCATTGAAAGATTCTTCATTTGTGATGTCATACATTAAAATAAATCCCATGGCCCCACGATAATAGGCTGTGGTGATAGTCCTGTATCGTTCCTGGCCTGCTGTGTCCTAGAAAACAACAATAATAATCTCTCAAAAAAATAATGCAGTGCATCTTTTGGGAAGTGATTAATTATTCCCAAACAGTCATCATAGAGAATTATATTGTACTTACAATGTATAGCTATACCTTTTTTTAGTGTTGTTTTTCCAAATGATTTTCATAAGGCAGCCCTTCAATATTATGGGAATTCTTTTTTTTTTTTTTGGTAAAAATCTAGCTTAAAGTAATTTCTAAATATGTTCACTCCCATTACGTAGCATCTAACTATAGAAAATGAAATAAAAAGGAAAAGTATACACATCAAAATCTGTGGCTTTTTGTATAGTTTAAAACTGGAAGAGTATATTAGCTCCATCATTATGTATTTATTATCCATCTACTAAGTGCAAGCCACTGTGGGGAAAAAAGAAGTTTATGAAAATGTCTCTGTTTTTAAAAGCAGGCAGTTTGGTCTCAGTTTATTCCACTGTAGAATGAGAATAATTATACCTGCTTTGTGTGGATGTTTGAGTCAGACAGATCTGGATTTCCTGCTCTCCTTGGGGGAGTGTGGACAAGCTAGTGAACCTCTGTAAACTGAATCCCTTGAAGTCTAACATGCTTATTAGGATTACATGAAATAAGGCATGTAAAGTGCTTCACACAGGGGCTGCCATACAATAAGTGGTCAATAAACAAGTACTAGCTCTTGTTCCTGATATTTGGCCAGGCAAGGCTAACACGAAATGGGAGACAGCAGCTAACAACACAGGGGTTTAGGGCCTGCAAAAGAGATGGCATGTAACAGTTAAACCTGGGAATCAGGGCAGATACTTCCTTAAACCTGGGAATCTGGGCAGATACTTCCCTATTGAAATAACCTGTAAAGCTCTTGTACACAGCAGAGTGTAGCTCAAGAAATTATTCTTCAATTCAACCAACTATTTTTTAAATATATTTTTATTGAAGTATACCTGATATACAAGATTGTATTGGTTTCAAGCATACAACACGGTGATTCAGCAGTTACAGACATTATTAAATGCTCACCCCAACTAGTGTAGTCACTATCTGTCAATGTAAAAAGATGTTACAGAACTACTGACTACATTCACTATGCTGTACTTTGATCCCCATGACTAATTTATATTATGATCGAGCTTTTGTGCCTCTTCATCCTCGTCACCTATTTCACCCCCCACCCCAAATCTTGCATCCTCATCTTCACAGGATCTAGGGTATCACAGCCCAGTGCTCCTCAGTTTCCCCCTTTACCACTTTCCCTGGAAACTGGGCTGATCTCTCTCTCCTAGTCCCCTAGGTGCTTAGTTCTTCGGACGTGAATGTCACGGTCTTTCCGACTTCGTTCTGGGTCCTCTTGCCTCCCCCTCCCCTCAGATGCCTCCTTTGTACCCAGAGTGCACCGGAGCTCCCCCTATGGCTTCGTAGACCTCGAAGGGAAAGCTAAGGCATCAGATAACACAATAATAGGTTCCTTCATCACCAAAATGAAAGTAACAGCTCCTGAGCCTCACACTTGGGACCGCTCACGTTGGATGTGTTCTTCCTCACTCACAGGCACTCTCCTGCAGGGATACTTACACTCCAATGCAGACTAATGGAGATAAACTCAAGATTGCTTACAATTTACTCCTAATTTATGTGGTATATTATTTGGCCTCCACAAATTCAGAGAGGGGTGATCAAAGAAGGCTGAGAAAATCAGTGAATGATTCCAGAAGAATGTGGGGGTGTGAAATTAAATTTGAAAATTGCTTAAGGGTGTAACTTTTCATGAAGACAGCCACAACTGTTTTCTACTCTTGGAGCAGGGATAAGGCTGGCCTGACCGGAAGGTGTTCATTTTAGGTAATATTAGGGAAAGGTTTCAAAGGCAAGATGAAACCAGATTGTGGTATCTAAAATTGCAAAAATTAAGCAAAGCAAATGGGGAAAATCTTTCAGAACACACCAACAAAGGTAGAAAACAAAAAGGAAAAGTATATATTTCACCACATGAAATTTTGACAATTCCTCAAATATAGAAAAAAATGCTATAAATAAAAATTGAAGTGACACATAATCAAATAATAAACTGGGAAATACATTTGCATTGTACCAGAGAGGTTACCAAACATTAACTATATCAAAGGCTAATATCTTTAATATATTAATTGGTGTTAGAAATAATTAAGAAAAATGTAAGGCATTCTAATTTTTAAATTTTTTATAAATAGCCACAAAAAGAGCTAATTAATTTGTAAAATGAGTTGAATTCCAAGCATGATAATGCTGTACAGTTTCACACCTATGTAAGAGAAGTCGCCTGGCCATTATTTGAATATTTTATTATACTTTGCTTAGTGTTTGATAAATACGAAATTGTAGATGTTAAAGATAAACATATATATCATAAACTGCATGTAATTGGGACAAAAATACAAATTTATTAGGCAGAGGGAAGCCAATGTTGAGTTTATATGGATTTTCTTACATATTCATTGGATTTAGTTGAATTAACAGTATATCCAACTGTGAAATAAAAAAGGAAGTTAGAGATTCTCAGAGTATGTTAAAAAAGCAATGTTTCATGAGAGATTGTGTAATATATTTTAGCGCTCCGGGAAACAGAACCCCTTGTAACTAGTCATTCTAATTTAAAACTTACCTACTTTTGTCTTTGGATTTTATTTTCCAGGGTATATTATCTGCAAAATTACTTTATTTTTTGTTTTTTGCTTATTATTTTATTCTATTAAAGTAACTTTAAATGGCTTTCTTTTTCTCTTGGTAAAATATCTTTTTGGCATTGATTGAGTAGCCTTCTTACAGGTTAAGGACCCCATTCCTGATGCTTTCTCTGCACAGCAGACAAATTTCCCTCATTTCCCAATAGGAGAAAGCAACCAGTACACCTGAGGTGCTGCTGAAAGATGACCCAGACCCTTCCTGTCAAGCATGTCTTCCACACAGATACTAAATACTGTTGTTGCATTGGAAAACTGACATCCTTTTCTTCTTGACCTCTTCCAGTGATGGTTTCCCTTTGCATAAGATGTTAATTTTATTTTGACAGTAAAGAAACTAGTTCTTGTACTATAAAACACACCAATTTCAATCTGTGAGTATATTTAATCCTTGAGAGAGCAGAAATCAAGGCCCCATTCTATTATGATTGAGATACTACAGGAAATATACAGATATTGAGGAAATCACAAGTTGGATAGCTACCGTGCATAAAAATTTTTTAAATGGGAAGGTAGAGGCAAAAACTGCCTTCAAGAAAAAAAAAAATAGAAGCTTTCAGACAGCACTTAAGTCACAGCAAGGGGCAGGACCTTGCACACCATTCTGATTTGAACCCAGCAACACAATCTTAATGGGAGATAGCTGTCACCTAGAAGTTCTCAGGGAGAATAAGAAATTGCACCAAATAGGTAAGTATAGTAAGAAATATAATGAGGAAATTTCCTTACCAAGTACAAAGAAAATAAAAAGACTAAAACCAAGCTAATAAACAAACACCAGATTGGCTCTGCATTGGTTCTGAGTACTGAAAATAATTTCAGGATTACAAACTCATTAGCATTTTCTCTCCCATGGTATCAGGAAGAAAAATAAGTCAGAAAAACACTTCATTACATGTGACATTTACTAATGATGATAGAAGGTTATATTTGAAAGAAAAGAACATTTTATAATGTCAAGTGCCGCTAATGTAATTAAATGCGAGCAGTCTCAGAAGGTAACTGACTAAAATGGTACCTTTCTCAATTTGCTAAGAAAGATGGCTCCAAGCCCTGGCTTTGTGCTGTTCCTCTGATGGGTTGATTCTAGTAACTGGGGATACCTACTGATTTTTTATAAATGTAGGCTTCTGGTGATTGAAAAACACAACTGGAAATCTCTTGCAGAGAAATGAGGGATGGACAAATGATTTAAAAATGAAAACTTTCTTCTGTGAGAGTTAGATTTCATTTTCTTCCCTTTAGTTGGTTTAAATATTTTGATTTCTCAATCATGTTTTTAGTAGGAGTTTTTGGCTTTAATTATAGGTTTGATTAGCAAACACTTGGATATCTGTCAGAAAAGAACTAAAAATGGAAGGCATCAGCTGCTTGATAAGTAGTAGTTAAGAATATTTTCAGTTTGAATTATTGTCTTGTCTTTGTTTTTGTTTTAATACTTCTTTCTCTAGTGAAACATCTTATTTTTTAACTGTTATGTACTGTATCCTCAAACCCTTCTGAGGTCACACGGAGATAATATGCAGTTTTAAGTCTGAGGAAATAGCTTTCATTGTAAGGTCTGTGTTATACTGTAATTCTATTTTTGTTCTGGTGGCTATTTCTCTCTGTATTGGATTAAAGGGAAAATAGAAGTAACCATTAGTAAAGAAACATAACTCAAATAACACTGCCACAATCAAAATGCATTTATTGACTGTCTAGACAGAGAAAAATAGATCGAAGGACAGACAATAGGTACATGATAAAGTAAGTAATTTTTATAGGTGGAAAAAGCAAATCAAAACACATTGGTGTTAACTGATCAACGAAGTTATTTAATTGAACTAAAGAAAATTATATGTAATAACTCAAAGAAGAAGTCAATAGAAAAGGAGGATGAGTACATTGCAACATAAGACATACGACACATGTAAGTGAATTTCTAAATAGACACAAAGATGTGAAATGGAATAAACACTAAGTCATTTAGCATCCAAGCAAGTGGTAATCTTTTAACTTGTACTTTGCTTCCTCTTGCCTTTAGGAATTAATTTTAATCATCAAAGGAAGACTAAATTTTGCTCAGTGTGGTTTACTATTAATACTGACTGGTAGATTGATTCAATAAATTTAGTGAGCGCCTATCAGCAGTTACAGACTATGATAGATATGTATGAAATTTATTTTATTTATTGTAAACATATTTTTGTATATTTTAAAATTCTACACATTAAAAACATTTCATTAATCAGAATATCATATTCCCTACATGTCTATAAAACATTAGGTAAAGTCAC